TTTTCTTCTCTATGCTGGATGTTGGGTTGCGTTTGAGTTTCCTGTAGACTTTTTGGTCTGAGAGTAAACTATTGATTTTACTGCAATAGTTTTCCCTGTTCATAACTACAGTAGCTTTCCCTTAGGGAAAATCAATCAGTAAAATCAATAGTTTACTCTCAGACCAAAAAGTCTACAGGAAACTCAAACGCAACCCAACATCCAGCATAGAGAAGAAAACATTTTCTCTTCTGAAAAATGCAGGTCTTCCTCTTCAAACTATCAAGTATTTAACCCCTCAAGGTTCTTCAGCACCTAGACTCTACGGTCTTCCAAAAATCCACAAGGAATCAGTGCCCTTACGCCCTATTGTCAGCAATATTGGGGGACCTACCTACCAGTTAGCCCGCTATCTCACCAAACCCCTCCAGAAACTTACTGGTCTCAATGATTCCCATATCAAGAATTCAACGGATTTCGTGAATAAGATCACAAAAATCAAGATGAGTACTAATGATATCCTGGTGAGTTTCGATGTAGTCTCACTGTTTACTAATGTTCCAGTCCAGAATACTTTAAACGTTATCAAGAATTCCGAGGAAATTCCTGCTAACCTCTTCCCACTAATAGAATACTGCTTAACTTATTTTCAGTTCCAAGGAGAGTTTTTCGAACAAACCTCTGGAGCGGCGATGGGATCTCCTATATCTCCTATCATTGCAAACATCTTTATGGAACACTTTGAGAATAAAGTTTTGAGGAACGCACCACTGAAACCATCCACATGGTTTCGGTATGTGGACGATACTTTCGTAATTTGGAATCATGGCAGGGAAACTCTTTCTCAGTTTCTCGGGTTTCTCAATTCACAACATCCCAGTATTCAGTTCACAATGGAAGTGGAACAAAATAATCAAATACCCTTCCTGGATGTGCTAGTCCAAAAGAACCAAGATGGCACCTTAGGTCACCAGGTCTACCGAAAACCAACACACACGGACCGATATCTACATGCAACCTCTCATCATCATCCCTCGCAAAAAAATTCTGTCATAAATAAGTTCATTGGTTTACAGAGTGCTCACAATTTCGGAACCATCTTCTCTGGATGGAGAACTAGAACACCTCAGTACAGCCTAAACCAAAAATGGATACAACAGCAAAAACATCTCGCAAATAATAAAAAACCAGAAGAACAGAATTGTCAGTCCTAAAAACACTGACACACTAGATGAAGAGAGAGAAAAGAGAAAAACGGCTGTCCTTCCATATCTCCAGGGCATAACAGAACCTATCAGCAGGATTTTGGGTAAACACAAAATCAAAGTAATCTTCAAACCCCATAGGAAGCTCTCCCATTTACTCCCAAATCCGAAGGATCAGAAATCATGCCTAGAAACATCAGATGTATATAAGATCCCTTGCTCTTGTGATAAAGTTTATATAGGAGAAACCGGGAGGAAGATCAGTACGCGAATCAAGGAACACCAGCGATGTACCAAGTATGGTCACTTTACTCAATCAGCCCTAACTGAACACTGGATGGAGACTGGACACTCCGTACAATATGACAAAGCCACCAGATTGGCTCCCTCACAGAATTGTTTTGCCAGAAAACATCGTGAAGGTCTAGAAATTTTAAAACATCCCAACAACCTCAACCGAGACAAAGGTATGCAAGTAAACTCTATTTAGCATACTGCCCTCCCGGTTTTTAATTGACCAGCTGATCAATTAAAATAGGCTGATTGGCTGGATTCAAGCCTCGTGCCCTACTCCCTAACACCATCTACACAAGGAGGGGGAGGAGGGCATATAAGGGAGCTCAGTACCCAAGGGAGCTCAGTATCAGAGTTCTCAGCCTTGATGATGCAAACTGCAATGTTTGCGAAACGTCGGCACATCGCTGATTCAAGACACGGCTCCCCGTTTGAAACCG